TAAATAAATAAAAGTTTTTTTTAAAAAAAATATTGAATATTTTTTCCTGTTCGTATTATCGGATTAACTTGTACTAACTTGAGTCACCAAATATATATGCCCAATATACTTGTATATAATTTTGTAGGGGAGAAAATAGCTGTTTTCACCTCATTTTGAAGTCCTGCTAAGTTTTTCACACCGCCCAATAAAAATTTAAGTTTTTTACCCCCACAAAGTACGAAGAGATATGCGAAAAACTATACGATAGATAGACGACCGGTATGAGAATGGGCGAAAAAATTATGAGTTAAAGTATGCGACGAATATGCAGAGGTTCGATGTACGATTCGGTCAATCGCGGTCCGTCGCCCATTAAATAATTATTTTTATTAGGCAAATGAAATGCGACTATTAGTCGAAAAAATTATTCTGCGACATACCAACGTCGCATATTATTCGCAGAATTGGTGCATAATAATTTTTTCGTATTTCTTTCATCTTTCAGTTATGCGAGGCGGTATGCGAATTGCCACATATTGCTCGCAAACCCCCTTCTCACTTCTAGTGTATTTTTTATTTCTTTTTTTATTTCTTTCATCTTTCAGTTATTCAGTTATGCGATAGGGTATGTGAATTGCGGCATATTGCTCGCATACCACCTTTGCACTTCTACTCGAAAGTTTATTTTTTATTTCTTTCATCTTTCAGTTATTTCAGTTATGCGATGGGGTATGAGAATTGGCGCATAATGCTTGCATACCCCCTTCGCACTTCTACTCGAAAGTTTATTTTTTATTTCTTTCATCTTTCATCGTTTAATTTAGTTTAATTTTTTCTCTTTCAGGTATGAGAACGGCATAATATTTTTAGAATTTAAATTTTTGCATGGTTTAGAAACCGCTGGCAGTTGGAACGTTACGGCCGATTTCGAGGCGTCTTAATCGCTTTTCGAAACGCCTTAGCAATAAAAGCGTGCACGTGAATCGTTTCATCCGTCTATATAAAGCGTGTCATCTTCGATACTTATCATGCCAATTCTCTTTCTACCCCTCCGTCCCCCAGAACTCTTTGGTAATGGCCCTCCGTTTTTTCCCTTCTCTTGTACATGAGAAGCAGTTCGCCGGAGATAAACCAGAATTACATAACTTTTTTCTTTCGACCTGTGAGGCAATTCTTTAAGATTACTGTGTCCGAATTGAGAACTCCTAACCTTCCGAATTCGTCGGAGGAAAAAATTCAACGAGTGGAAATTTCGCTATCCAACTTTATTAACGTGGCCCCGGCAGGAAACATATATGCCGAAACAACGACGATGAAGATTAAACCTCCGGGCCCGAGTATTGTCAGATCAACTGTGAGAATGTTGAAGGTCGGAACGGCGCGCGTCGGCGGCCGGGGCGTAACGGCCCGGCCCTCTGTCAGAGGCAATGCTGGCCTCAACCTCTCGAGGTTGTGGTCGGCCAGGTTTTCCTAACAGAGGAAGGTGGTTGGTATCGAAGGAGTTTTTCCCCGAACCCGTCAGAGCCCATCGGTTGAGAGCGTGGTGGTCGTGGCCGATCTCATGCTGGAGTTCTACGTGGAACTCCACAAACAAGCTCCACCTACAACTCCTCTTTCTCGAGTCTGAGTGATGTGGTAGCTCGTCGGCTCCCTCGTCCTAGCTTTTGTTATGTTGGTCCTTCGATTTTTTTTTAATTTTTTTTTAACTTTTTAATCGGCTGGGGTTGAAGCGACTGTAAGAGCAGTAGTGTATGGATTTCTGTTCGATCTTTTATTCTGCGAAATACAAACTTCGCATATTATTCGCCTAGTTGGTGCATAATAAGAAAAAAAATATTTTTAGAAATTTTCTATTCTGCGACACACATTGCGAAGCACTCTTGTAGTATAAATGAAGAATAATTTATTATTTTTTTAATTTCTTTTTGGAAATTTTCTATTCTGCGAAATACAAATGTCGTGTATTATTCGCCTAGTTGTTGCATAATAATTTTTTTGTAGAATTTAATTTTTTGAAAATTCTTGTTTAGGCGAAATGAACCTGAGACTATTAGTCGAAAATATTACGCACAACAAACACATAACACGTAGTATAATCGAAGAATAATTTTTTTTTAAAAAAAAAAATGTTTTTGAAATTTTCTATTCTGCGAAATACAAACGTGGCATATTTATTTATTTTTTTTTTTTGTAGAATTTAATTTTTGAAAAATTCAACAGTTTAGGCTAATGAACCTGCGAAAATTAGTCGAATCAATTTCGCATACAAACCGCACAACATTCGTAGTATAATCGAATAATTTATTTAAACAAAAAAATGTTTTTGGAAATTTTCTGTTCTGCGACGCACATAATTGCGACAAATAAACGTCGCATAATTCATTCGCAGGTCAATCGGAGGATATTCGCATATCTACTTTTTGTGTAAAACAATTATTAAACAATTATTTAAAAAAATATTTTGTGTTCGAAATGGTCTGATAAATGCGATTCTTTATGCGACCGTCTCACGACGGATATGCGTTAATTCGCAGGTCTACCGCAGGGTATTAAACTGTGAAAGAGATACGGAACTAAACCATTTTTTTTATTTTGTTTATTAAAAATGCATCGGAAATTGCGAAAGTATGGCGCTTGTTACGCGAACATTACTCGACAGCTGTTATTTCGCATATTTTGTAGTATAGTTTATTATTTAAAACAAAAAGAAAAAAAGAAAGCAAAACGTCGCATATACGCTACTTTAACAGTCGCACCTCTCAAGAGAAGAAAACAAAAAAGAAACAGGGGCAAAAAATTTGAAATTCCATCTTCCATCTTGCGACATTAATTCGCATAGTTAGAAGCAAAAGAACTGTTAGAAACTAAAAGAAAAAAAGAACCAAAAATGATGAACGAGAACGACGTCATGGCCTTCTTAAGAGATTCTGAAGATTTCACGAATCAAGCTTTTCTCGTGGCGGCCGGCCAAGTGGGTGCCCTAACAGCGGCTACTGCGGCCGACGACTCAACGGCTGCCGTAACGGGTATGGCGGGCCGCGACTCAGCGACTGAAGGCACGGGTCCGGAGGCCATCTCTTTTGGAGAGGTAACTTTCATTTGTTGCAATTATCTAATTTAAGTTACTTAATTTCATTTGATTTATTAGTTGAGAAATAGTTGTTTTTATTTGATAATGTATAAGTAATTTGATTTGAATAATTAACAATAACAACAACAATGAGATTGTTTAGGATTTGTGGTCATACAAGAGACAAGGCCTGATCGACAAATATGAAGGGCTGAAGATCAACGTTTACAGCCAGCAGTATATATGTTCTGATATCAGGAACGAGTTGGGCCTCGTCGAAGGGGCCTTGACTGCTTTCCAGGGCTTGGTGTTTGGTCCGTTCCTCCAGTTTGATGATAAGGCTAATGTCTCTGCAAAGGCAATGCATGGGTTCTTTCTCGCAAGGTGACTCGTGTCGATCAGAACCCGAATGAGATGTGGTTCCGTATTGGTAACCATTCCGTATTGGTAACCATTTAACCCGATTCTCCGCCCATGAGTATGCTGTGGTGACTGGGCTTGCTTTTGGATCGTCTGCGTTTGACCTGAACTCAACGCCTCCTCCTCCTCCATCGTCTATTTTCTATGAGAAATGTAAAGGCAAGCGGGTCACTATGCAGCAGTTGCGTGATGACTTCAAGGCGGGGCAGTTCCGCCACTCTCGAGATGTGACAGTGAGAGTGGCGAAGATGCTAATGCTCATGTAGCGCCCCGTTTTCTTTTAATAAGCTAGCATTTCATTTTGTTCCACTGCTCGACTTAGTTCAAAACTCGATTCTTATTTCTTCTTCTGTGCTTTTATTTTGTTTTAATAAAGGCTAAGAGTGATTATGTGAATTGTATTCCTAAATGTACTTTTTGTGCTTAAGTGTTATGTGTGCTAAGTGTCAATTTTGTTTTCTTAAGTGCTTAGTTTCTTTTATGTGTCTAAGTGTTTGGTTGTACCCAATTTGCCTAAATGTTATTTTTGTGCCTTCTTGCTAAGTGTTCTTTTATATTTTCCTAAATGTTCTTAAGTAATTATTTGACCATATTATTTGCCTAATCGAATTATTAGATTATGTGAATTAAGTTCCTAATTGAATTATGTGATTATGTGAATTATTTTCTTAAGTGAATTATATGCTTATGTGATTTATTTCTCTAGGTGATTATTTGATTTTGGTATTTTCATGATTATGTGATTTTGTGCTTAAGTGATTATTTGAATTTTTGTGCTAAGTGTTAGATTAATATTTTTAGTATATTATTTGTACTAATTGTTTTTTTAAATATCCATAAATTTCTTAAGGGTATATATATATATGGATATCTTTCTTTTGGACCCAAGAACATTAACAAGTCCATCTCCCAAACCCACTAGACCATGGGACCGTTTGATTTAGTTAAGAGGGTCCAATCTTGCAGCCCAAATTCTCAGCCTAAGCCTCCATTAAGATCAGCCCATTCAACTCCATCGACCTCGAGAGATCGATCACAGCATCCCATCTCCCTCTTTCTCTCAACAGCAACGCATATCGCAAGAATCGGAGAATCATTCGCAGCAATGAACGACGCCCAAATTATCGCCATCTCCCCAAAAATCCGGCCACGATTTCCCCTATCGGATTTTCCCTAATTCTCCAGTATTTAAGCAGCAAGCCCCTCAGTCACGATTTCCATTTTTTTCACCTCAGTTTCTCCCGACCTAAGAGCCTCACCTCTCACAAATCTCGTCGTCCCTCGC